GCAGCCGCCGGCCCGGCCTCCGGCAGCATGTTCAGCTGGGTCAGCAAGGATGCCCGCCGCAAGAAGGAGCCGGAGCTCTTCCAGACGGTGGCCGAGGGGCTGCGGCAGCTGTACGCGCAGAAGCTGCTGCCCCTGGAGGAGCACTACCGCTTCCACGAGTTCCACTCGCCCGCGCTGGAGGACGCCGACTTCGACAACAAGCCCATGGTGCTGCTCGTGGGCCAGTACAGCACAGGCAAGACCACCTTCATCCGGCACCTGATCGAGCAGGACTTCCCGGGGATGCGCATCGGGCCCGAGCCCACCACCGACTCCTTCATCGCGGTCATGCACGGCCCCGCCGAGGGCGTGGTGCCGGGCAACGCGCTCGTCGTCGACCCGCGGCGCCCCTTCCGCAAGCTCAACGCCTTCGGCAACGCCTTCCTCAACAGGTAACCTCCTCGCCCCGCCCCGCCCCGGGGGGCGAGAGGCCCTGCCGCGGCCGAACCCCCGCGCTAGGGCGACCCTCCCGCGGCCCCCGCTCCGCCGTCCTTTGTCTCCGAGGCCCCGCGAGACCCTCCGCGGCCACTCCCTGGGACGGGGGCCCTCCCGCTTCCCACCGACAACCCGCCGAGGGCCCAGGAGCGGTGGTCGCCGGCTTCCGCCGCCCCAGAATCTCCGGGGTTCGCAGTTGGACTCCCGAACCCTCTGGCCGATCCCAGTCCCATTCCCCTGACCCCGGGGCTGCCTTAGGAATTTGGTGTCCACCTTCTCCCAGGCCGGACGCACCTGATTCATTCAGGTCAACCCTTCCGCCTTTCCTGCCCTCGGGGGTCGGTTTCTCAAGTGTCAAGGGGAAAACACGACGAAACTTTAAGCCGTTCCCTTTGCTGTGTCTCTGCCCTGCCTCCCCTGGGACCCGTGGTTTTGAGTAGGAGGAGGGGCAGCCCCGCGGAGGCAGGGGACTTCTGGGTGGAACACTTCTCCCAAAGGCAGTTCTCAAAGGCTCAGTGCTGCCCTGAGGGGCTTCAGAAAGCAGATGAGGCAGTGGCTCTTGGAGTCCCGGTTTGAGATTCTGGCCCTGAGTCGCTCTGAAGACTCCCTAAGAGAGGTTCCTAGCCGACCTGGACCTCACTTTCCGTGAGTGAGGCCTGTTCCCCCGAGCTGAGAGTAGTTCTCCGAGATTCTGACCCTTACGATGCTCTGAATGAAACAACGGCCTCCTCTCCAGGGCGCAGACGCCCAGGCTCACTTTTCTCTGAAGGAACTCAAGGCATCTCCATCCCAGCCCCCAGGGGACATACCACAGGCCTTCACAGACCCTGCCCCCTCTGCCACCCCCCATTTGAGGAGTGACTCCACATGCCTTTCGAAGTCCGTGTCAGGGGAAGAAGAATCCCAGTCCTGCCTCCCAGGTCTCCACCCTGCATGATCACATTCCTCTCTAGACACTGTCCAGCCGCCCGGGCAGCTTGTTCCAGAGCCCAGCCAGTGGTGAGGCCTGCCTGCATGCCCAGAGCTGACCTTCACCGTGGCCTTCTGCAGCCTCCAGACGATGCAGCCTGTCCTGTCTTATGGCTGCTGGTGTTTGTGTGTTAGGGCCAGGTTGAGTCTTCTAAGCCTTTGGGCTAGGGCTCTTGAGGAGGCAGGTCTGGTCCTTTTGTCTTGACCGTCTCTCCTGTGTCTCAGCATTTCTGTGCCAGTGGATAGGCGAGTTTCTCTGTTTGGGGGTTTTTTTTTTAAGGATTTTTTAAAATTTCATTTTTTTTTTAGTTGGAGTCTCACTCTCCCAGGTTGGAGTGCAGTGGCTCACTCACAGCCACTGCAGCCTCAACCTGCTCGGCTCAGGCAATCCTTTCACCTCTGCCTTCCAAGTATAGCTGGAACTACAGGCGTGCACCACCACGCCTGGCTAAGTTTTTTATTTATTGTAAAGATGAGGTCTCACCAAGTGGTCCAGGCTGGCCTTGAGCCCTGGGGTCAGGCAGTCTTCTCTCCTCTACCTCCCATAGTGCTGGTATTACAGGCATGAACCATCACGCCTGGCAAGCGAGTTTCTCAAGCCATATAGCTGGCAGGAACCGTTTGGACCTGTGGCTGCTGTGTGCTGGACAATCCAGGCATTAGGGCTCTGTGTCCATGCAGAACTTTGGGACACCATAAGGAAGGGTCACTGTATGCACCTCTGAGCTCCGCATCTGATTGTGAGAACAGCCTTTTTTTGAAAGGAGAAAAGGGCGCATGACTGGTTTTCTGCATGTGGGAGCCTAGCGTTTCAGAGCTGGAAGGCTCTTCGACATCATCTTGGCAACCTCCACCTGTTGGTTCAGGAAACTGAGGCTCAGCGGGCCCAGCTGGCTTGTCCAGGTGACCCATTGAACCAACCAGTGCTGACTGCCTGGCCTTTGTGTGGCCGATCACTGCCTGCTGCTGCTTCTGCACGAGAAAGAGTGCAGGAGCGCTTGGTCCGAGACAGACACTTTGGTGACTTTGGTGTTGGTGCCAGGGGTCTGAGTTAACATCCGTAGAACCCAGAAATCTCCTTCTTGCCACCCTCTCCAGAGGGTCCCCGAACTCTGATGACCCTGCCAGAAGAGGCTTTATCTTCGGGGCTGAGGGCCAAGCTGTGTCAGGATGTATACTGTGGGGACTGGGCCGGCAAGGAGGGTGCAACAAAGGGGGATTTTCTCCGGCTGATACCGCCTCTCCCGGCACTCTTAAAGAGACCCATTGAGGGCTGGGCACAGTGGCTCAAGGCTGTCATCCCGGCACTTTGGGAGGCCGAGGCGAGAGGATTGCCTGAGCCCAGGGATTCGTGACCAGCCTGGGCAATTTGGTGAGACCTCGTCTCTACAATAAGTCAAAAATAGCCAGGCGTGGTAGCGCGTGCCTGTAGTTTCATCTACTTGGAAGGCTGCGGTGGAAGAATTGCCTGAGCCCAGCAGGTCAAGGCTGCTGCAGTGGCCGTGCGTGTGCCCCTGCCCTCCAGCCTGGGCGACAGAGTGAGATTCCGACTCAAAATAAAAAGAGACCCATTGAGTCATGAACTTGACTTTCAGGCCCTTTTCCCCCCATTGGCTGTTCTAGAATAACATCAGATAGAGCAGACTGAGGCAGGGCGCAGTCAGGGTGTCTTAAGAGTGTCTTGTGAAAACTTGTTGCATCACTGGGACCGCCCACTTGTAGCACCAGATGAAATCTTTGTGTCCTTGCTGGAGAGAAGATGGGATCAGATGCATCTTTCCCACCCCTTGTTATCTGCCACATTCCCTGGGCCAGCGGAGCGACTTGGCGACTTGTTGCTGGGTTCTACCGATGTTGACTCGTTGGCCAGGCTTGTGTTCAAGCCCTTTTCAAGTTCTCCTTCCAGTCCTCCTGTTTTCCCATCTTCTCCCCAACAGGTCCCATCCCTAGCAGGAAGGCCAGGCCTGGCCCGTGTGCTCTGCTCTTGTCCCGAGTCAGGGTGAGGCCCAAGGTTTGTTTGCTCACCCCGCGGGTCAGCTGGTCTTGCTCAGTTGCACTTGCAGAGAGCGCCTCTGCCTGGTCCGCTGCCCCCACCCTGTGGGCCACCGGTCACTTGGGAGATGGGGCCACACGAGTTGGCTTCTGTAGAAAGGCGGCTCTGAGTTTGCCTTCTGCAGACATGGGTCAGGGTACCTGGGATTTGGTATCACACTGGCCACAGTACCTTTTTCAGAGAAGTTTCTAAAGGAGCCTTTTCTGTGTCCAGCGAAGAAGCCCTCTGGGCTGTTCTAAGCTTGGTATAGAGCTCAGGCACACACAGCTGAGCCCTGCCCATGAGTCGCCAGCCTCACCGCGGCTTTGTTCTTCGCTGGCCTGCTTTGACTTTCAGAGAATGGTGTGTCTGTACTTCTCCGTCCCACTGGCCTGTGGTCCCCAGCTTTTGCTGGCCGTGCGTGTCAATCCCTTCACTCAAGCAGCTGGTTGAAAGCGGCCTAGCAGCAGCTGGAAGAGGCCAGCTCTCTTCGGTGTGTGGCTGAAAATTTTCAGTTCCCAGGTCCCAATGTCACCCTTCTGTTTCCCTTCTGAATTGAACGGTGATCTAGGCTCGCCCCGTTCTCACTAACAACAAGTCAGCAGCTTGAAAGTTGAACTCTTGAACTCCGGGGAGCAGCCAGTGTGAGGGAAATGCTGATGCGGATGGGTTGGAGCCTGCGGATTGCAGGCCCAGTGGGGAAGGTCCGCACAGCGTGCTAGCCACCCTGGGAATGAAGACCACAGAAACCCTCCTGCGGGCGCCTGGCTGCTGGGAAGGAGGCAGGACGCGTGGATGAAGGAGGCCAGCGGGCCCTGCTGTCGCGCGTGGAGCAGCGAGAACTCGTCTGACGCTCTCTTCCTGGCTCTCATTCAGGTTCATGTGTGCCCAGCTGCCCAACCCGGTCCTGGACAGCATCAGCATCATCGACACCCCCGGGATCCTGTCTGGAGAGAAGCAGCGCATCAGCAGAGGTACGCGGCCCAGGCCTGGTGTCGCAGGTGCCTCCTCCTAGCTGGCACCTTCTAGCCGTGGTTGTCCGGCCCTGGTTCAGGTGCTGCCCTTGAGATTTCTTCTAGCCCAAGCTTGTTTTAAGAAATGTGTCTCAGAGAGAACCCATCTCCGTTAGCCTCTTTCCCTGTGCCTGGGAGACAAGAACAGCCCCGGCGAGACCACAGCCAATGTTGTGTGGCCGCCATGCCGTCAAACTCCTGGGGTGTGCTGGAAACAACAGGTTGGGAGCTGGGGCTCTCTCCCTGCTTGAGGGCTGTAGGAAATTGCTTAACCATTGTGTTCCCAGTATTCCAGCCAGCAGCGACTCTGAACCAGCCCCAGGCCCCTTGGAGCTCACTTGCCTTAGTCTGTGTTGAAAAGTTTTGCCTCCCAGTCCTGGCCAACAGAGCAAAACCACATATCTACAAAAAAAAAAAAAAAAAAAAAAAAAAGGCCAGATGTAGCCCCAGCTACTCAGGAGACTGAAGCAGGAAGATTGCTTGAGTGTGCAGTGAGCTATGATTACACCACTGCATGCCAGCTGGGGCAACACAGTGAGACTGCCTCTAAAAAAACAATAATAATAAAAATAAATGCTTGGCCTCCTTAAGATATATACATTTTTTTTCTTTTTTTGAGTCAGAGTCTCACTCTGCTACCCAAGCTGGAGTGCGATGGCACGCTCATGGCCACCGCAGCCTCGACGTCCTGGGCTCCGACGATCCTTCGGCCTCAGCCTTCCAAGTAGCCAGAACTACAGGCACACACTACCACACCTGGCTAATTTTTGTTTTATTATAGAGCCCTCGGGCTCAGGCAGTCCACTCACCTCGGCCTCCCAAAGTGCTGGGATGACAGGCTGAGCCACCGAGCCCAGCCGCTGTATACGTTTTTAGGAAGTCCAGCAGGACTGGGAGGGAGCCAGCCAAAAGGAGGAGCTGGTGGAACCCTGGTAAACCTAGTCGGCCTTCCTAGGTGTGGTCTTCATGCTATGCACTAGGCCCCTGCCAGTTGTGTACACTCCTATCCAGATTCCTCCAAGCTCTTTTGAAGATGTGGTTCAGGATCAGCCTAAACTGGGTCTATCTGTCCCTGTCCCTTCTTACGGAAGGGTGGAGCTTTGGAGCCTGGTGCTTTTTGGGAGCAGCTTGAGGGTAGGTGGCTGGTGCTTGGCAGGAGACGAGCAGAGTCTGCAACCACAAATGTGAAAATGAAGACCAGACTCAAAGAGGACTTGAGGACAAGTGAGCAGGTTTGTTCACCATTAACTTGCAAATTGACTGGGCACAGTAGCTCACACCTGTGATCTCAGCACTTCTGAGAGGCCATGGCTAGAGAATTGCTTGAGACTTGGAGCTGGAGACCAGCCTGGCAACATAGTGAGACCTCATATCTACATTTTGTGATTTATTCTAGAGACAAGGTCTCACTGAGTCTCTTGGACTGGTCTCAAACCCCTGTGCTCGGGCAATCCTCTCGCCTTGGCTTCCCAAAGTGCTGGGCTTACAGGGGTAAGCCACTGCACCTGGCCTGCTTTTTTTGAGTGTGGCCACTCAGGCTGGAGTACAATGCTCCATCACGGTTCACTGCAGCTTCGATCTCCTGGGCTTAGGGGATCCTTCTGCTTCAGCCTCCTGAGTAGCTGGGATTACAGGCACGTACCACCATACCCGGCTACTTTTTTGTATTTTTGTAGAGATGAGGTCTCACTATGTTGCCCAGGCTGGTCTAATACTCCTGAGCTCAAGGCAGTCCTCCTACTTTGTTCTCCCAAAGTATTGGGATTACAGGTGGGAGCGCGGCCACTTTTTTCTTTCTCACTCTTGTCGCCCAGGCTGGAGTGCAGTGGCACATTCATGGCCACCAGAGCCTCAACCTGCTGGGCTCAGGCGATCCTTCCACCTCAGCCTTCCATGTAGCTGGAACTACAGACACACACCACCAGGCCCAACTAGTTTTTGTGATTTATTGTAGAGACGAGGTCTCACCAAGTTGCCCAGACTGATTTGGAATCCCTGGACTCAGGCAATCCTCTCACCTCAGCCTCCCAAAGTGCTGGGATTACAGGCTAAGCCACTGCGCCCAGCTAATTTTTTCTTTCTTACTGTTCTTGTTCAACCTAGCTTTTAAAAAGTACCGAATAAGCCGGGCTCAGTGGCTCAACCTGTAATCCCGCACCTCTGGGAGGCTGAGGTGAGTGGATTGCCTGAACCCGCGGGTTTGAGACCTGCCTGGGCAGCG